GGGGGGGGGGGGGGGGGGGGGTGCAACCCCAGCTGTTTAGCTAAACTCAATCTTCTCTGCAAAAACGAACCCAAGAGAACATCCTGAAAAAAACCCTGATCAGCATTTTACAACATTTTGCAACGAAAAATTTGCAATATTACTAATTTTGTGATGTTCTTTCAAGTTGTATTGAAATTTTTGTCTAGATCAAAATTTAGTCTATAATGCAAATGGGCCATTGTCTCACTTATTAACATTGTTATAAATAAATTGTCTGACTCACTATTCCAACACTTCACAACAGGCAATCCCCATTGCCATGATGGCAAAACCATCTCTTTCTTAAAGTAAACATTTAAAACAGTCCGTTCATCTTTCATTTTTAATAAAAAAGTGATCAGATCCAATTTGAAGCTTATTGAGAGCCTTTGTGATGAATCACTGATCTAATTATAGAATCCAACAGCAAACAGCCAATCAGAATGCTGTATTCATGGGTTTACGCTGAAAGTACAAAATACTGGGTCTTCCTTGCAGGCCCACTATTTTTCCCCCAGTAGGCCTGCACGCGGGCCTGCAATCTTTGGTTAGAAGATTGAGCTTAAAAATTTCAAGGCCTAAAAAATACCTGTAGTTCCGGTTCCCAACCAGCTCTATTTTTTTCTACCAACTGTATTATTTTTTCAACACAATTGACCATACAACACTACTACCACACTTGCAGCAAAAGAGAAAAAATGCTATATATCTCAAGTTGCATGCCCATATAAGGTCATAGCACATCACCTTGCTCCCCCCCCCCACTATATTTTTCACGATATGAAACCGGAACCACAGGTATATTTTAGGCCCAATTCAAGACCAAGTTTTCAGGGCTGTTTTACGGTCCTAAAACATCCCTGAAAAAACCCTGATTTCATGAAAGAAACCAACGTTTGCAGCAAAGCTCTCAAGTGATCCCATATGATTCCCAAATGTTTGTTTACAAATTACATGTGATGACACATTTTACACATTCTGATTAGCTTAGAACGAAATTCCACCTTGTTAGCGGGAATTGAAACACAATTAAAAACTGACCTTTCAAGTACTTCCTCTGCAAATCCAAAGAACTAACACATTCAAACAGAACTAACACGTTCAAACACAACTGCATATTCTCAGAAACAGATTTCCAATGATACATTCAATTGCCTTGTACACATTGTTGGTGTATAGCTTCCATGTCAAGCCAGATAGTTGAATTGTTGTTCTCTAAGATAAATAGGATTAACTCATTAAAATTAAGCTGGAAAGAAACTCAAATATGTGCCATACTTTTTTATTTTATTATGTCTGGTGTCAGATCATTTCACTCATCAAGAGGAAAGTCTTGTGCATCAATAGGTTAACCAAACTATTTGCCAACGTATCTTGTTATCACATTAAACTGTAATGCACCCAAATGAGCCTTACTTTTTTATTTTACCATGTCTAATATCAGATGATTTTACTCATCAAAGGGACAGTGTTGCACATTAATGGGTTATGCACTTGTCAATTGTAACCCCCACCCCCCAACCTTGGGGAAATGTGGCGACAGAGATTTTTGATATATCCATACTTAACCACAGAATAGATACCCGACCGAAAAATGTCCGAAATTTTGTTTGTACCTACATTTGTCCTATGAAAAACTTTTGTGTGCACTGCACGATGGCATCATATGATGGGGTATTTTCATATCAACACTTGTAAAATTTCGGACAAAATATTTTCCGAGTGACACTTCCGGTCCAGTATCTATTCTGTGATTTAACTATTGCCCAACCCCACTGAGACAGGCTAACCGGCAAAATTTGTTTTATTGAACAAATTTTCTATTTTCAAAATAAAAGTAATATCAGTGATATACCCAGTGTTCAGGCTCTGCTCTACATTCCCACATGTTGAATCCTCCTCAACATACCAACAGGTGGGAATATTGACTGAATATGCACAAAAACTGCTCAAGTTTTCAGCAAACTTGGTTGATTTAAAAAACATAAACAACATGAACGAAGCCTTCAATTTAGCACCGGCTGTTTAGCCCCACAAATCACCACAAAAATTAGATTCACTGTCAAAACATGTTGCAGTAATGCCACAATCAATTCCATGGTATTCCAACACCCCCCCCCCGGACATTTTCAACTGTACTTGTTCCCAGGGTCGGACATTTACTTTCTGCAGGTTAGCTCCGGAGTGGGGAATGAATATTTATTGTTTGTTTCGCCATTTACACATGCATCGGGCATACAAACAAAGACGTTTTTCTTGTCCATCCTGTTGATACATTGACTTACTTCCGCAGTTTGATATTGCTATATAAAGTTTTGAGACTTCAATATTTTAATTAAAAATGTTTTGAAACGAAATGGCTACAGAATCGATTTTAAATACAGATACATATTGATAACAAGGCAAAATGTTCATTGTGATGCTAATTGATGCGAAAGTTGCCAAAATTCAATACTTTCTTCATTACATTTTTTTCATTAACAAAAACTAGATCGAAAAGCACATTTTCTGACCTAATCACATTTCATTTTCATTCATTTCCATCTCAAGGTTATTTTCCATAGAAAACACACATTTTTCAAGAAACATCACTTTCGGCCATGTTTCAGCGAAGAATTCTCGACTGCTAATTTCACGATTGCAAAAAGTAATTGTATTTTTGATTAACATTTATTAATATTTACGTTTGCTAGCTTTCTTTTGTTTTCCCTCTGCTGCAGTACAAGAAACAGGGTAGCGTTTTTGTTGTTTTCGCCTCGGTTTTCACTGGCAAAAAGAAAGCGGCCGCGATAAATTTGGTCAGAGATGACAATTTTTACGGTGGCCGATAAGAGTCACAATATCTCGAAACATGCCAACAAATGTGCGATTCACGCCACAATTTCACGATTCACACCACAATTCCACTATTCACGCCACAATTTCACGATTCACACCACAAACCACTGACCGATCACGGTGAATACTGATTAAATTCATTATTTCCCGCCTTTTTACCGCGACCGCACAACGGCTTTTAAACAATGAAAATGGTTTTAGTATTCATATTTGGCCAATAATCTTATTGTTATTTACATTAATCCTTTTTGTTGAAGTTAAATTGTCTGTATAAAAACAGTTTTATAGTTGACATAAAGAGTTTGGAATGTGACATTTGTTAAAGGATTAGTTCAAAATTGATAGTTATTCAATTTTAGACTGAAAATGCTGTGTTTTTAATATAAAATAGACAAACAATAAAAAACTATATTAATTGTTAAAATATATACTTGTTCAGCTATTTGTTTTAAAATTGTTCAGAGCACATTTCCAACCAGTAGGCTTTTCTAATATTAATCCTTCTGATGTGCAAACATAGTATGATAGTCTTTGACATCCTGATTAACCGGATCAGCGACATGCTGCCTAACAAAAGTTAAAGAAATCCACAAGAGCTTCCCCACACTGAATACACTGGCCGTTGTCAGCCATGTTTACGCTCATTTCATACTGTCATGCTGTTGCAGGAAAAGGCGGGAAATAATGAATTTAATGTATATTGAGACCGTGATTGGTCAGCGGTTTCTTTGTGGCGTAAATCGTGCATTTGTTGGCGTTGGTTTTCCCACCTGTTCCATATACCAGAGTCAGGGATCTATAAGAAGAAAATCCCCAGCCTAGTCAGGCGTAACTAAGAATCAAAAAAGGAAGAACACCCAAAAGGCTGCAAATTACTGTCGGATATCACACATTGTCTGACTAAATTTGGCAAATGTCCGAGCAAAAGTAATTTTGATTGGACATTGGTCAGATCAAATTGTCATGCTATACACATTTTTTGCTGTGACAAAATCCGATTGCAAATTCACTCAATTTGCAGTTTGCAAGCTAGCATTTTACTTAACGTTGCGCCGGAATGGCTATAGACATACTTATATATATCTATATCTTGTGACATATATAGTGGTGTTGGTTTTTGTCCAACCAAATTCAAGTTATGTCCGACCAAAATTAAAAGTCATCGGACAAATGTCCTGCCAAGTCAAATATTTATTTGCAACCCAGCCCCACATAACCCCACCTTTCCCCGAGGTTGGGGGGAAGTGCAGGGGTTAGGGGCGGACCATTAGAAATCCCGGGAGGGGGGGTATAAAATTTTTGCAGCACGAATTTTTTTTTCAGTCTCGTGTCTCTGCAGGAATTTTTTTAATGCATTTAACCTCTGCACGAATTTTTTTTCAAGACTATTTCTACTTCGCTG